TTTAACATTGTTGTTAGGTGAAAATTACAAAAGAAATCATTAAAAACATTATAACTTAAAACTACGCAAAATCGTAGAACAGACATAGTGATTTGGATACTCCTCATTATAAAGTATCTAAATTTTACGCTTGAGCGTCAACTGGCGGGCCACCCTGTATAATTCATGAATCAGAAAGTATAAAAGTAGGTGCAGTGTGTTATGTAACTATGTAAATCGTTTCAGTTACTGATGAGTCAATGACTGATGTCATGCAAAGTGGCATAAGTTTCTTGTGGAATTTAACATTTTTAATTCGAATGGAAACAAGTTTATTCATGAGAATGAAGCCACGTAAAAGCTTATTACCGGACATATCTTTAGATATAATATAAAATCCAAATGCTAATTGCTATAATTACTTAACATTATTTTTTGGTATAGTATCAAATCTAAGCGAATTTAAGTGTGTTTGCCTCATTTAACTCATGTATGGCAGTCGCTTTCTATAAAGTCTAAATTCTTAAGGTAAAAGAGTTTCCGGTTCTCTTTTTTCCATGTAAAAATGTATGCACTTACGCTATTTACAAGAATTCCTTGAATTACCTTGAATACCTAAATGGCTCGGAATAGTTGTAAGTGCAACTCAACTCATAACATCTTCAATTTGGAATTTTATATCTTAGAGTTTTCGTAATTAATCTAGTGCTACAAAATATATTCATGGTTATTTATTATAGGAAAAATCCTGGTAATATTACAGATAAAATTCGGTAAACTAAGAGTTCGGTGAAAGCATTTATTTTAATATTTAGTGGGCAAATATTTTTAACCATTACTATATGTACAGTGAGGAGCAGGTCAATCTACTCTTATTTCTTTATTCGATTTTTGCGCGAATGAACTGTCGCATTGGTATATGTAGAACGAGGAAAAACCTACAGTTATTTGGTAAAGTGTCGGACAGACACCACTATCAAACTAGACATAAGAATAGATTAAGTCAGCCAATTTCGAGATTGGCGAAAGTAAGTAAGTCGTTCATGGGATTCTGTGTTAAATGTTATATTAAGATACCAGGCGATGTACAACAACTAAATGAATCGAAATTTAAATTATGTATAAAGAAAACTTTATGTAGACAAGCATATTACAAACTTAATGAATATATAGAGGATAAAAATGCTTGGATGCAGGCTAGTCCGGCTCCACAGGATAACTAAAAACACTTGTTTTAATGAAATCGTAAATAATACAGCCATATTGCTAAATTGTATATTGTCTAACTTAGATAACCATTGTAAATGTGAGAGCCCTGTAATTAACTTAATATTAAATTAGATTAGTAGATTTCATTTGTGTCAGCTTGGAGTTGTCATGCTCACTCAAAGGTCTCATTGGCGGTGGCGCGTGCAGTGGATCGCTCGATTCCCTACAATATGGTTGAGTTGGGCGGTGCTGGTGTACGTGTCATGTTCGTGAACGGGCGCCGTCAACTGGGACTGGTCAGCTCCAGACTGTATTACTGTCCTTAAGGTTATTTTCTTTTTTGATCACTTTGACTGGATTTTAGTGTTACATTGTTCTCGCACAATCCAAACAGCAAAACTATGTAACTAGTAAATTGTATTGTGAACCTGATTGAAAAAGAGTAACCTATGGAGTTTCTTGCTCGTTCTTCTCCATAGGAATCTACGCCTTGGAATGAGCAAATAGCTTCACTTTAAATTTTTGTTTTTGTTGACGTTCAAAAGTGCCATTCTGGCCTAATTGAAATAAATGATTTTGACTTTGACTTTGACTTTGACTTAATATAAATGTTACCTGTCCATTAAAAAATTGAATTGACATATAACTATAAAATAAATCACCATCTTGAATACAAGATACATTTAGAAACGATGATGGAAAAATTAGGAATTAATATATTCTAGACTCTAAATTAAAATTGAAAGGGTTGGGTTTCGCTGCTCCGAGGTCTATTATTCCGGTTTACTAATTTCTCGGTGAAAATCCTCGAAAAGTAATTGTCATCTTCTCTTCGAATTAGCTCGATTAGCATATTGTAGAATGCGAACTTTCCACTGTTGATTTTTCATAAACGTTTTAACGGAATTAGAGTTATTAAATTTTAATGTTAATAACATTGTCATTTTTTCTGTTACATTTATGTTATCTTATATTCCCGAAGATGTTGTTAAATTTACAAATGCAGACACCAGATTGTTCCTTACAACATAGTAGGTATACGTAGCTGAAGCTACAGTCGCCTTAATAAAATATTCTGCACACTCATGCTGAGTATGTACAATATGTACATACATATTTGTATACATATGAATACAATATGTACGTATATATACATAATCCCATTGCTGCAAACTGGTGATACACATGAACAAAGGTTGACTGAACGTCAATTTAGAGAAGACTGTTAGGTACTGCCACTCTTCCGTAGCAGATAGCCCACTACGCGCTACGAGCTTTTCTCATCCGTTCAGCAATGTTTCATTGCACGCATCAATTTTGTAACTTTTACGCGATATATGAAAAAAATTACACCTAGGTTCAATTTCAAATAAGGATAGCTGTTTATAATCTGAGAGGTGATAATAAACCAATGTAAATATTAGATGTTTTTTATGTCAAATATTCAAAATATCAAAGGACTCTTCATTTCCTGATTTTGTTTAGATATCGAGGAATATTTTTGTCTTTGTAATTTATTTATTTATTAATTTATTTTATAAATCTTTTTGACATTATCAAGTAGGATCAGGAGTACAAACATATATCCATTTCGTATCAGACGAAGTGATTCGGTGTATCGTCGAATTAATCCAGAGGTGCTTATGAAAAAGGTGAATAAACAACAATAATATATATTGGACAAAATTTATTTAATAAGTCTTACTTGTGGTTTAAAGTACTATATACAGGTCGTAACATTAATTGTAATACTTATCTATAATGAACATTGAATTTAACATTCACTGTTGTAAATCTAAAGCAGCGTTTCCACTTCGTCAGGTATTGAGTTTAATGTACTACATACGTTGTTAAATGTCTAATACGTTAAAGTATAATTAAACATGGCTGCCAGAGTGTAAACACGCTCCCTACCCGAGGACGTAGAAACGAGCAAGAAAATTAAATCTGATCAAATATCCATATGGCATATATTTATATTTTCACTTAAGTACTTCAAATATCATCATAACTATTTATTGTAAATTATAATATGTAATTGTAAAAAAAATAACTATTTACAAATATCGATGGTCACCCTTCATTTTTCAATTTATTTAATAATTATAAATCAATATATTTATCTGGGTTTTGAATTTATTTTTGTAAACAGGCAAAATTAGGAAGGCTATATTTATAATTATATTTGTGAAAATATAATTACTGAGCATTCAACTGTAAGTTTTATTTTAAAAGCTGAGTTAAGTGCTTAACTGATGGCAGTACAAGTAAGCAAAAAGATCGATAAGACTATTCCAAATTATAATTATAATACACATACAAACAAGCAGCCTTTGTTTATTTAAAAAAAAATCCCAAAAGCGAAATGAGACGGAAATCTGATCGAATCAAAAATCGATTCATTTTGATGAATTGCTGTTATTACTGACGTTTGTCAAAAGACTTCATTATCGCGGCGTGTATTTATTGAGATTCAATACGTTTTATACAAACGTGAATATGCGGCGGTGAGAGCATGCCTCTATGACCATTAATAGAATTCCCTTTTCAAACCGACCGCTGCTACCCAGCTCTACACACGCATTACAATACTTTTCCATCGATGCCATAACGGCATTTAAAAATAAAAGTACCAACTTTTTTTGACGAAATAAAATGAGATTTGAACCTTCCAGGTCCCTACACTAATAGAAATAATTGACAAGTGATACATGTCACAGTGACTTAATGAATACCAGTGTTTACAACAACCATTAATTAAAAACGTACACAGACGATGACTTTAAACAACAAATTAATAAATAAAATAATATAAAAACTGCCATGATGTCAATTGAAAATAACTATTAAAAAAAAGAAATTATAAATCTAAATTATAGATACAACTTTAACATAATTTATTTTAAAAAATGTAAAAAAAAAATTGAAGATTCATTTTATCAAGGTGGGTAATTTCGTAATTTAATCTAAATGAACATAATTATGTATGATTACAACAAAATTGATGGTTCGTATGATACTGTACTTTAGGTCGAAAATTGTGTCAAATACTTAACATTATTATTTCTAAGTTCTAACCTAATAGTCGAACCTAAAGATCAAGCTCGGAGTGATGCTATTATCTAATTACGAAAGATTTAATTCAATGAACAGCAGATTGCATATGTATGCTATTATATGAATAATAAAATATATACATAATTCATAATTTTATAAATCATTGAAATAAACGAAACTCAAAATCTCGTGTTTCTTATTTAAGTAGTCATTCATAATATTGATAAAGTAGATTGGCACTAAACAAATAGCTACCGAATATATTCTAGGGCCATTCATTAGACATATAAAATAAGCTTCAAAAAGCGAATTTACAAAATAAAATAAAAATATTAACTGCTTTGATGTTCAGGGACAGATTCTGCTAAAAGCAGGCACCTCACATAGACCGACTTAGTCCTAGCGATGTATGGCTAAACAGATTATATAAAAATACTTTTAGACTTCCCACAAAACGTAATGTATGTCTATGTATATATGTTTATCGTAGCAATAACAAATAATCAATCAGCTGCGTAAAATTAGCACACATACTTATTACAGAGGGCTTAGTACGAGCTCGAAACGGGACCGAGTTTGATGCTTTGATTGGTTGGTTCATTGAAGCCGGCCAATCAGAGCGCCGAACGCAGTCTCGTTTCGATTACTTTAATAGTAAAACAAAACTCGTACTAGGGCCTCAGAATATTTGTCTTCATTTTCACCATTTATTCTCTTAACTATACGAATGGCATAGGCAGTGATAGCAATTGTATTGGAAGGGACTTGAATACACTGTGAAGGACTTGTTGCCGACAGATTTCGATAGTAATACTTTCAGACGAATAATATAAAACAAATTACATTTTAATGGGGGTATAAATATTGTATTTATAAACAGCAATTTGAATTCACGTCCTGCAATGTTTACGAGGAAATAGGTAATACATTAAAGGACACGAACACACAATGTAAAATATTACACAGACATGTCCCCGATACTAGTATGACAGTCTTTTGTCGAAGGCTATAGCCACGGGCTGCGAGTAAAAAGGGGTTGGTTAGCAAAGAGGAGATTTGGCTTTCAGTCCTCCACCCTAGACAACCCATACGCTTACAAAATACACCATGGTGTAAGTACTCTCTGAATGAACTCGCTCACACCCCTGGCTACAGCCCATACATTTATTTGTCTCTAAATCATTATATTTAGTAGATTTTGAGCTCCCATCAAAATCCAAGATCTCATTATTACTAGAAAAGAATAATATCAAGATTTCGAAAATCCGTATAGTCAAATGTAAACATTGACATAACACGAGTGTATATTTACAATTAATATAATCAATATTTACCTTACTTATTACTTTACTTGTGAAACCAATAACATCCCCGTAATAAATCTTATTCTATTAAAGTCTGAACTTCTCAATATTTCAATAAACACATCATTGTGATGAATGCTGATTGTTTCAATTTCCGTCAAACGTTTAGAGTTTATGAGACTAGAAATTACCAAGTGACACGAAGTGAGGTCACGCTGTGAAATAATGTAGATATTTTGTTATCAAATTGTTCAATACATTTATGAGTAATTCGTGTGAATGCTGAAACATTAAGATAATTTCACTTGAGTGTCACTCCAACGAAATTAAGGCAGATACGTAGAAGGTTAATAATTTTTACAAACACCATTTTAATATACAATAAAACGTAATTACGGTCGTTACTAAACAATGTTCCGAGGGAGTCGTAATCTTCCCCCATCAGTGCAATTCATACAGAAATTTTGTTCATTACCAGATCAAGTCTTAAGGCCGCGAAACAAGGAATTTGAGACTTCGACAAGATTATTTTGGCTCGGAATATTGCTTGGAGATTTAAATCTGCACATAATTTCTTGTTCAAAAATGAGGTCTCGTAAAATGTGGCTTGGAGAGATATTAATGGATTTGTATATTTTATCTCGTTATTAATTTTATTCGAATATAAAGCTGGATGTAGATAATCAAATGTTTGTCGAAGGAAATTAAAATGAATATCCGAAGCGCCTATTGGGTGAAAAGCGTTTGACGACCTCAGTCGTGTCAAATGAAGGCTCCTTCGTTTCACTGCTCGTAAACTCTACGTACGTGCGTTACACATTACTCGTACCCTAGCATCACAATTGACAATGTCGATAATGATCACTATTCTACACTTCGATGATTTATTTACACCACTCGCACCATACTTGCATCAAGTCAACAATAAACCACATTTACAAAATATGAGCTATGGAGATCACATATCATTCGTTATCGATCGAAACCTTAGTTCCGAAGTTTATATGAAAGAAATTTACTTATATGAAAAACAAGAGCTTACATTATACATTTTATCGCTTTTGTACCAGTTCATCGCGACAGACAGGTATTTTAATTTAAGAACTAAGCGATTTTATGGCAACTTCCTTATCTTAAATACCTTTGTATTATTTACGAGTACCTCTTGAATTATAACTAATCATAATAAAAAATATCGAAACAAGAACAGTTAATCCAGATTTACTTCGAGAGTAAAACTAGAATATAACCATAATATTTCTTTTACAACTGGTTTAAAAGGCAAAGTTTAGTTGGTTTTCTCTAAATATTGCCCATAAACAAAGCTCAGTGAATTGAAACATTCATTTTCTGTTGAATTAAGATGACAGTGACTGCTCAAACTGAAGGCAAATTAAATCACCTGTTAATTAGGCAATTTGGTTTCCGTTTTACAAGTTAACAACACTTTTAGTCCCACGTCACTCGCGAAGTTTCTAAGTCTGTCACCACCCACTTATTTCTAGTTCATTTTCCTTCCCTGTATACAATTATTTTACGCGCCTTTATCACAAAACGTTTGTTCACACGCACTAGCTACACTTAACTTGTTATCGTTGTAGAGCAACAGCTGCGCAACATTGACGCTGATGTTACCAACTTGACTTATGAGTTTCACGCAGCCGTCGCCCTTGAACTTGCAGATGATGAGAGTTCATGGGGTAACAAGTAAACGGAAGTCAGGGGCAGACTCGGGGGCCCACGTGACACGAACACGGTCGTCGGCAGCCGAGCGTCACACGCTTCGGCCATCTTACAGTCGTGTTCATACGATGATCTCGCGGATGACGCGGCGTGCGCGCGAGTTTGGTGTCGAGTAACCTGACTCCAGCGACTCGTCGTAGCCCAGCGACATGTGCAGCGGCTTCTCTTCAGCACCGCCCTCCTCTGCACCGCCGCGCATGCCGTACTCCGGTAGACCACTCACCTCATGGTACGGTGATTCTGATGAACAAAACAAACTTTGAGAAAAACTCGATCGTTTGGACTTGCCTCAATCGACTTAAATCTAAATATCTAAACATGGCAACAAGCATGTACGCTCTTACTGGCAAAAATAAAAATAAAAACTGAGATACACAGAAATTCAAACTTCTTTCAAACAATTTTCCATCCGTTGCAGATGTATACTATAAAGTTGGTACTTTATTAACGCTATAATTAAATCTCCTGATGGCATCAACGGTAGACTTATCATACTAATAAACGTCTGATGTTGGTTTTAAGACCACTAGGAATCTATTTTTTACAAAAAATAAAATGATTACAGGCAACTTAAAAAATAAAAATTATTTGGCTCTTTTTAGAAACGCTCTTTTGGAGAAGTGTGGGCGTAAAGTCATTAACGCGCAGCCTCTACGTCACACGAAAATGTATAGTAGTAATTATGGTCAACTTTTTACAGGAGAAGTAAGACTTGCCTCAAGTGGAAAATCTTAGTATTGTGTGCGGAAGTATTGTTGTATGTTGATGAATAAATGCTTACCGATGTGTTGATCCATCCGCTTCTTGGGTTTGTGTACTGAGGCGTATGGGTCGGAGCAGTACTCCTGTCGAGAGGGGTTCTGTGCGGCGCGCATGTCGTAGTCATTGGGTGCGGGAGGCTGACTGGCGTGGGGCAAGTGCGAATAATGCGCATAGTCATCAATGTTCCTGTAGCCCGCATGAGATATTGGGTCGTAGTCGTAGTTGCTCTGTCGGTCGAGCACCTGGTGCGCTGGTAACGTCGCCGCATTATTGGCCGCCGCCATCTTCATCTGCCACAGCGAGTCTTGCGAGTTCACGCTACCCCCGTTATTGCTGTTCGTGTAGCTATTTTCTATGAAGCCCATGTTTACCCCTGTGTACAATAAATCTATTTAATTTCAAATCTTAAAATTATGTGAGACTTGAACGCAACATGCAAAGCGTGCTTCCAGGTATATGTTAGTTTTACCTTCTAAGTAGATTGCAGTTAGTCCTGAGTGATTGCGTATGAGAAAAATAAATTAAAGTGGTAAAATCAAAAATTGAATTAAAATAAAATTATTTGTGTTCCAAAGAAGTGAAGAAAAGTAAAATGAAGTATGTTCTTTAATAACGTCGTAATTAAAACAAATATGGTACTAATATTTTGAAACAAAACGCGTAAACTTACAGTCGGAATTAGGCATCGTTTGTCCAGAATGAGGCTGTGTGTGTGGTGGCACGTGGTACGAGTAGCCGCCTTGGGTCGCGTATACAGCAGTCTTGGAGTCGTCCATTGATAGCGCCATGTCCATAGAATGTTCTAGGGCTTTATTCTCCATACCGGAGCTAGGGTAATACGGAGGCGGGGCCTGATTCTGTGGTGTCACTTTAGCGGCTCTCATTGAGTCCATTTCGTAGTCTTTGGACCTGTCCTTTTTGTTAGGCCTGCGCCTGCACTGGTAGATCAGTAGCAATAGTCCCACAAACAAGAGAACTACAACTGTTGTAACGAATATTCCAACAATGGCGGCCGTAGTGCGCGCCGACGTTTCCTTGATGTACGACGTACCAACTGTTATACAAAAAATATATTTAAAACATGCCTTATAGATAGCAAATATCTCGAACTGCTCACAATTTGTATTGCGAGTTATCAAAGTTGGCTATTAACAAAATACAACGAGAGATTAAAAGCCATTTAGGCTTTCCTTATGTTTTCATAAGACTAGTTTATTTCAGTAACTAATACTAGCCATAGGGAAAACATCAGGATGAAAGAGAATAGCTAAAAATAAATCAGGGAACTTTAGTACGATGTCAAAAATGTTTCGAATACTTATGTAAATGTATTGTACGAGGACTTACTTTCGGCTTCAGTGTAGTCACTGCACACGTCTTGATTGACTTGTAAACAAAGCTTGAGTCGTATGCGAGGGTTGAAGTCGTCTAGTGGTGGGTCAGTGACGTGTCGAGCAGTCGTGCGAGTTGTTTTACTGGGCAGCTCGACTGTAGCTTCCTGTACTGTCGCCACTGCACCAGACAGTCGAAGGTTCACAGTATCCACTACCTGTTACACAAAACATTGTATGAGCTTTATATTCTCAGCTCCAAATCTAATGTCAATGATATTTGTGCCACGGACCACAGCGGAGTTAGTTAGGATTTATAGTCTGGATAAAAATTGAAGTCATCCTATCTACTATCGTGCAAAGCACGTACGCTATTTATCATTATTGTCTAACTATATATCTATATTACGTCCGATTACATGAACTGAATTTATTTGATGTGTGTAGGTACTCCGAATATTGGCAAATAGATATAACTTGATAAATCATGTTCACATTCAGTGTAAATAGCCAAACCAATGTAATATCACTCATGTTAATGCGAATTAAAATATTTTAATCATTACCAACAGTTGACTAATGTCGCTAAAATCATAAAGAGTTTCATTGTAGAGGTACATGTCATTAACATAATTATTTTACTAAGTCGGTACACTAAGTTAGCTCTCAGTTTAAACTTGAACGTAGCTTGTATTTTCATTCACATTCTGCTCTTAGTAGTAATTATTTCTTGGACAGAATGTCTGGAATTTTGTATCCCTCCGGTCGAATCTAATGGCAAACGAATTCCTGGACTGGAAAACATAGTTCGTTGGAGTTGGAACAGATGAATATTATTTGCTTAATGAAGACGTACAGCCATTGATGCGATTTCTACCATCCTGTCCACTATACCATAGAATTCAAGGAGACTGCGCAGGAAATTAGACAGTATCTTATCTTTTTATTTTTTTCTGTCTATCGTTATTTTATAGACTTTAGACATTTTAAATAAATTTTAAATTACATTATCCATTGTTCGTAGCCTCTACAATAGAAACTGCTGAGCTATCATTGTGTGGATCCTCGATAAGCTTGTTCTAAAACTAATTTCAAATCTTGCAGTGCCAATAGATATATTTAATGGTATTTTATTGCACTGGTGAACAGAAAGGAGTTGCGAACGAGCGCCAATGAACTAATTGTATTAATGCACAACCCAGTTTCGTGCACGTGACATTCTTTCCAACTTAACACAAATCTATTTATCAGTGACTGTGTCATTGTTAATACACCTGTACACAATGCCCTATTCAGCATTACGTTTATATTAATTGCTTATATAATATTATATACTACAAGGCAAATTAAGGACGGCATAATATATAAAGCCACACATGTAAAGCCAGTAAACAGATGTGAGCCGACATTAAAAAATTGTGAGTGTGTGATGTGCACAAGATTGATATTAAATAATAAAATAAGGTAAATAAGGATATGAAACTGTGATAATAACCTGCCATCCTGCGGTACCTCCCATATTGGCGAGTCCTTCGACGACACCCACTAAGGCCAAGCAAGTAGGGGTCACTGTGAACGCTATCGCCTGCGTACTGGGGTCATACGTCACTTGCTCTGGTGGATTGATTTTGTCTACCTTCGTTGTCACTGTGATCTCATTCGAGTAATTGCTCTGTCCCTTGGTATTTACAGCTTTCACCTATAGTTGAAAATTCAATTTAGAACCTCGAAGTGGCGAACGAATCGATTGTGAGCATTCTAAAGCGTGTCGAAAATCATAGCGACGGCACAAAAAGTAAAGAGAACATTGTAAACTTAAATAAACTAACGGCACGCGCCGGATGATTTACCTTGAAAACAAATGTGAGTTGCTGTCGGTAGCGATAACAATGAAAAACAAAAATGTAAGTTAATACCGTATTCGGGACAAACTCTAACCAAAACAACAAGTTTTTACAATGACTGGAGGGATATTACATCTCAAACTTAAGTTGGGCTTTATGCTAGTGATGGGCCGAAGCTGTTCGTTTGTCGAATTTTCGCAAAATAGAACCGCAACTGAAATCGAAAAGTATACAGAACTCCACTTTCATTTCATACTTCGGGGTGACAGTGACAGGTCGGCCAATGTTATTGTGGCTTTATCATTGTGAGCATTGATTTGATGCTCACGTTCATTCTACGTTTAGTGGATCACAAATATATTTCAGTAAAAGCGAATGTCATAAAATATATTCGGCCCATCACTATAAATTGCCTTAAGAAAATTGGTCTACATGAAAATTATATCTGTAAATAGCTCAATTTATATAAAATAAGTATCAGAAACAACCGTGTCATTATATACGGCTTTTCACTATTTGCTACCTTCTATAAGTACACACTACATAGTACTATAATAGTTTTAATGACGGGACTAATATTGTAAGTAAAATGAAACATGACTTTCTATTTTCTGACTAAACGACAAAAAGTTGCTATAAATTTCATTTTTCATATTTTGGAGTTGTCTTACCTTGAATGAGTATGTGTTATGCTGGTCGAGCCTGGTGACGTTGCAAGGATTGATACGTCCGCAGTCGTACTCCATCCAGTCATATTCAGAAGTTCGTACTCGATCCATCAATTCGCCTCCAAAGCCCGAGGACCCTCCACGAGTGACTTCCCCATATTTCATCGACATCCGCCATCAAACCCAGCTTCCCATTTCAAAGTCACGTACGTTGGCCCCACCTTTTGACTCTCTAACGCTCGAGGTGACTCCGGGGCGCCTTTGGGCTGTAACCTTATCTGAGGACGTATGCTCCCTAGTGAGTTCTTCACTTTACAATAATAGTCCCCATAATCTTGCGGTTTCACCATTTTTATTTTTAACACACTGCGGTAAGAGTCATTGTTGTCTGTCGTAGTATTTATCTCGTAGTGTCCGTCAGAGGACATTTGCAGTGGAGATGTGTTAGACCCGTAGAACCATTGGAATTCTGGCTTTGGGTAAGCTTGAACTCTACATAGTATTTCAGCACTTTCCATGACATCGTAAGCAACTTTATTCTGTTGCCGAATTGATATAGGTTCGTCTGCAATGAGGAAAATACGTTTAGCAACGTAAGAGCTATAAAAAATGTGTTAATATAAATGTTTCTTACTTATTCCCTTCCTTTAACATAAATATTCCTTTTATGTAGTTAAAGGAAGGGAAAAAGTTAAGAATATTTTATAATGAATTCTGTAAGATGAATAATTTTGTTTTTATTTGCTTATTCATTAAAGTTCAAGATTTCAGCGTCTAGAACATCATAATATTACATAATACTTTTTATACTTACGTTCTATTCGGAGATGCATCGTAGACTCGACTTTCTTAACTTCGTTTTCAAAAGCACACGAATAAATACCTCGATCGTCGGGCAATAAGTCATTAGTAGTCGGTCTTGCTTTGCCGTTAAATTTAAGAGTACTTTGAACTGTGTAAACAGCGTTTCTGCTCTCAGTTATGTCAGTTTTAACTTCGTACAAATTCGTATCGGCCTTAATTTCAGCGTTGTCCTTAAACCATTTGACATTAGGACGTGGTTTACCAAGTGCACTACAGGTGACCGAGAAGTCCTGCTCTCCCGATCGCTTCGTCATGTGTGTTTGTAATTTAGTTTGAAAACGTGGAGGTTGATGAACCTCTAATGTAACTGAAGCAAGTTCACCATGCCCTAATTCGTTTGTAGCTTGGCAATGGTAAACACCTTCACTTCCAAGGTGTGCACTAGGTATAGAGTATTGATTTCCTGTGGCAAGTACAGCAGGCTTGACGTCTGGACTAGTGTCCATATCCCGGAACCAGCGGTACTGCGGAGCGGGCCAACCGGGTGGCTTAGCACTACAGGTAAGAGTGACTCCCGCACCCTCCTGAGCCACTGGCCGGTCAGGGCTGATGTACGCACGACCAGGCTTGTGTCTCACCAGCACAGCTACTGAGGCACTGTTTGATCGCTCGGTACGTTTTCCGTTGCTGGATGATATAACATTGACAGCGCGACAAACATAAGTACCAGCCATGTCTGCATTCACTCTAGTCAAACTTAGGGTATTTCCACTCTGATGAAAATCGGGTTTCCCTTCCATCGTCCAATCAATAGAAGTAGGTTCAGGATTAGCAGAAACTTCGCAGCGGATTTCGACATTTCCACCTTCCTCAGCTTCAAATGTTTTGGACACTACAGTGACAGTGGGAGGAAATAGTACATCGAGATATATCTCTTTCTCTCCTGGACGTCCTAAGCCATTATCAGCACTACATGTGTATTTTCCTGCATCCTGTACCGTAACTCCTTGTATAGTATGCGTGAATGAGTTCGAAATATATTTTCCGTTCCTAGTCCATTTCACGGAGGTCACTTTAGGTTTGGCATCGACTTTACATTCCATAGTAGCGACACCATCTATTTCAACTCGCAAGGGATTTTCTGGACCAACTTCAACTCGAGGAAAATCTAAAACAAATGATAAAAAAATATGAACAAATGTTTGTATACAAAGTAAATTTCTAGGAATAGAACCACAAGGAACATTTACATCTCACGTGTTGCGTATATAGCTTTAGATAGTTCGCAGACTCACATTGTACAAAGGAAGCGGATGTGCCGTTAGCTATTCGAAGCATACCAATAATAAATGTGTTTACAGAATCTGTCAGAATTAAAACATGCACTGGTGTGCATTCACGGTGCGTGTTCTTCATCTGGTGAAAGACTTTGCTTATTCAGGTCAGCTCATAATAAACAGATGCTGCTGCAAGAAACGAGCATCAAAACGATGTTATCATTTATCGTTTCTGTTAACTTTTTATTTCAATTACGTAACCCAATTTTCGATCATTGAACGCCGACATATGGCTGCAGTTGCATTTTAAAGATCGAGGCGAATTAAAATAAAGCATGAGTTCAATGGTCTTTTCTAAACCTAACATTTTGTCTGTAACGATCACAACAATTATGTCATGCACTTACAGCGGACTTTTGGAATAGTGCCGAGTGCGACCGCGTTGTTCGTTGCTCTTTTATCTCATCTAGTTAATAGTTCCTTTACAAAGACCAAGAATTTAATTGAATAACTCAACCTTCTGGATGTCAGTTTAATTTTTTCTTTATAGGTATATTTTATTTAGCGTTTTACTATTGCTAATTCCAAACGTCTTATAACGCTCTATAAAATATAAATACAAACTTAGATCAGAGAGGATTTTGAGGTACTCAAAGCTAAGCATAAAACGTGCTAGAATTTTAAAAAACCTGTCTCTGCGAAAATCTCTTGTTTCCTGTCTTAAGGTAATTCTTTGGATAATCTTTCAATAGGACGCGAAAACGATTTATCTTTTGAAGCCCTGAAGGCTTATTTTAAGCTTAAATATATGATGAAAAATCTACCAACTGGTGCATTTGTATTCTTTTTTAACTTCATCAAACAAGACGGTAAATTTTCTATATTTTAATGTGAAAAATGCGGTAAGCAATTCTTTATAATTTTCATAAGTTCCTCTATACGAAACAATATCATCTCATCGTTGGTCTGAAGTTAGCACAATATCCGTCCTCGGTCCCTTTGCTGAACCTAATTGTTGGCCAACTATAACAAACAGGAAAGTTTTTGTCCGTTGGCCGGTTCACCTGGGAAACTTTCGATTGCGGGATTTGTCTTAACGTGTGGGCCGGCCTAAACTAACTGGAACAACTACTAATGCTACTAGCTCCACACCAAACTGTTACCTGCTGGAGTAGATACAACAGACGCCTAAATAAATCTATCTACAAGAACCCAGATTAAAAATTAAAAGCCCAGTTTAAAGTGTTTTTGGGTTTTTCCTTTAGAAGTTTCTCAGAAACAAGCCTGAGGCTAGATGCCCTTTTAATGGTAACAGAATCATCCCCCATTACATAATCTCGCGAAATGTGGGTGTATGTGATACAATTTTGATTATCCCGGAAATACACGCCCGGTATTATTTAAAAGGTCTAATATTTTTACAATGAGAATTGACAAGACAAAAACAAATGCTGAAATAATAATATATATTTTTTGTAGTTTTGATTCAGGTAGAGTATCCAGAATGTATGCTAAAATAAAAAAGAATTATACGATTATTATTTTCTCTATTCCCGGTTTTAATAAGTCTGGTAGTTTGTGTGATACGGCTATCTACCATATATTAAGTCTGAAAGAAATGGCTAAGAACATTCATAGTGGTGTATTTGTTCAGAAGGATCATGTAAATAATACCGAGCAGGATTCCATTCCCGAGGTAGCGGAAGCAAGTTTAGGTCATTGAGGTTATTTGCCGAGAGCTTTTGCGTTTCCTTGATGGCCGCTGGCTTCGCTCAGGGATTCACCCGAGACGTCTCTACATTTGAACGCGCGAAAGGAGTTCGTACAAATACCATCTAACAGTGTTTCTTTGCAGTACACATACGACTTTTATGGAACAGATTGTAAACTAGAATGTACTACCTACCCTACCCTATCAAATAGGCGAATATAAAAGAAAGCTTTCTAATATGCTTTCATCGTTCCTAAATTTATTACAAAGTCAGGCAAAATCAATAATTACATCAAAGTAATTTCCAGAGTAATAAAAAATATAAGTAATCAAACTGATCTTAATACGAAACACAAAGATATTTCTTGGACAGCGTGGAAAACATCAAACTTTTACGGCCAGCAAATCATCAAAGATTTATTGCACGAAAATAAGATTTCACTACGAATTATTACTCACTTTGAAGATATAAAATTCACACGAAACGAATTAATTGAACAGGAAATCCTCTTACTTAAATAAGAATATTGTTAATATCATAATACTGCCTGTTCTTTAGTCGGGAATAGGACGTATATTCTAGAGGTACATATTAACTCGAAATTAAACCTCTCACATTTTTAACCTTGTTTGGTAACAATAAAGGTAAGCTCATTGTTTCTTTGCAGTCTTCCTATAAATAATAATGTATATAGGAAATTAACCAAAAACAAATGGATAGTCAAATATAATTTGGAAATAGGTATAAACACGCACTTTTTACATTTTTCGTTGAAAGAACAAAAAGGAAAACTGAAACTGAATAGCCTTAACTTGTATTTAAGATACAAATTAATACTACAATACATATACGAAATAAATATTTTTGTTACACTTGTTTCGCACATCCGCGATACTTGCCTAAACTCCTGAAAAGGTTTATTCAGAGCGTGAAAAGAATTGGATGACGTAACTGGCTTAAGTATCACACTACATGTGAAAAAAAAATAACGAAATGTAGGTGCTAATATTACACGTGATGAATGAACCTGTTGTTTACATTTCGTGGTGTAATACAGAGTTCAATTATATATTTGGCTCGGCTAGTCGACTTTAGTCTGTATTGTCTTATTAGGTACGTGCTTATAATTCAAATGTTGCTTCGGAAATTATATCGTACCTTCATACAGCCTACAGTCCTTAAGGGCTATATTTCAATGTAAAGTAGTGGTAATGTAACCGGTTATTCAAGTAACGGGTGACCACTATGGATGTGCCCAATCACACACCGGGGACACACGCTCGCAGTGCGGATTCCAAACGTGATAAATTGCAGCGATATTGATTTCAGTCTATACCATGATGTCTTCGTGACAAAGTTTCTAGTGTTCGTTTATTATTTCAGTTTACTTCGTCTTCCAAGAACTTCTTATGAAAATTTTAGTTTCTTAACAACAATGATAACAGGATTTTAAGGATTATTTTAAACGACTTCTGTGAGAATAGCGTTAAAGTGATTTAGAAAGTACTGGCTGTAAGAATGTCATAAGACCCCTATATAATTCAGCGGCGTCGCGGCGCCTTCTATGACCAATGTTTCATTCTAACACGCTTGACTTTTACAATTCGCGTGAGAATTTATGCAGCTGATAGATAAACAATGTTTTCCTTTCATTGCCACAACAACCGGGGTCTTAGTAATAGTTGATGAGTTCGTAATGCATCGCTGTTAGAAGACAATTAGAACCTTCAACTTAATATAAAACTTGTTATTGAAAAGACAAATACAATTACGGGTTAAATAATTCCTCGTCGGTCGCGGGCCGTGGCTACAAGCGCTGCCGGTAAACATGTCTTAAAGTGTTGTGTTGTTGTTTTCGGATCTCTTGGGTAAGAATGGATTTACTTGAACCTAGACTATTTCTAAGTTCATTTTAAAAGAAACTTGATAAGCTCACCAATTCAAACATATTAGATTCAAATGAAGAAATGTTATTTCATTGTTTAAGTTAAGTTTGTACTTACAATTGACACTAAGGTCGACAGATGCATCAAGTTGTTGGCCCTCCGACATGGCTCGGTTCCATACCACACAACGGAAGACTGCTCCATCATCTTCCCTGGTCGGCATGAGAGTCAGGGTGGCGACAGTCGGCTCCGACCGAGTCTTAGCGTGAACAATCGTCGCGTCCAAGGGATACGTTGAACCCTCACGGTACCACCTGAAAAATTACTCTCATTAACATTTGTATGAGCACAATTTGTCACGCAGGTTTCCACGCAAACTTAAGTCTACTAACGTTTTTGTGTGTAACTAAGACTTTTTACGATTGTTACGGTTTCTTAGCTGTAAGCTCGCCATTTGACTACTATACATTGATTTCAATTTTGTCAGTAACAACGTGATAATAAACAATTATTTCATATTTCATGAATATGAATGAATAAATTCATACTTATCGCGAACTTTTAATTATCCTGCTTCCCCTAGAAACAGATTAGTAATACATTTTCTGTTTAAAGTCGGTGCTTGGAGCTGTAATTTCTCAAACAGCGAAATAAATCTTTCTGTTCTATAATTGAGATAACTATTTTAAATATACGATTAAGTACAATTTCATTTCGAAAATCAACGCATTAATAAATATGTATTTAATGGCGCATTTTATTGTGTATGTTTACAAGAATTACAAGGTGGTTACATTCATCTGTAATTATGGATATGGTTAAATCGAAGTTATCCAATCAATGTGCTCATTAAATGTGGTATTTATATAGTGATATTAAATTAATTACGTGAGAATGATGCGAACACATAAGTACTTGTATTTATATATTCAGGTGGGTTACCCACATACGTATAAAACCACGCATGTTTACTTTAGAATTTAGATCCAACTCAGAATAGAATTTAAAATTTAAACAGGAAGGTGCCTAAGTTTCGTGTTTTACAAATGTTACTTCGCATAATGTTGTACAGACATACATGTGTACCTACTCTCTAATGATTTCCCAGTTTATAAAACTGATTTATATGACTAGGGACCTAATTCCCGAAATAGTATAGGAAGTAAGCACATATTTTAATGTTATCTTTATCTTTTATCCAATGACTGAAAATAGCTGGTCTTATAACTGAAAACTGCTATAACGAAACAGCCAGCAAAATATATAGCAAGCAAACCCGAAACTTACATCATTCACATTTATCAGTCGCCCAACAATTGAATTGACACATAAACACAGCTTACTATCTTATAATACTATAATCCTACAACACCTAATCTTCCCACCACACGTACTTCACAAGTAACTGCAGTGTTTATAACTAGTTAGTAGTGTATATTTAGTTTATCCCGCACTGTTATTCGGCTAGTACTCCGTCCCACTATATACACTATTTCGGAGTCCGTAACGAAGCCTCAACTTTTTGGGAAGCCGGGACAAGAACGGGTAACTCGCAGGTGCAAAATATAAACTTTTAGCGACATAAAATTATGTAATGGAATAAAATTAGTTTACAGTTTTCGCTTCCTGTCTTGTAGTCATCTACAAGACAGAAAGCGTGCAGGAGTCAGGATCAGGATCTCATGATAGAATTGTAAAACGATTGCTATTTGGTAATTGCGTTATAAAATTAAGGTTAATGTAGGTTCAAAAATACTAAAAATACTTAATAGCTATACTGTAGGGAACAACACAATGTTTATGTTAAATCTAGTGTAATTTGTTAAAACGAGTAAAGTTTTACTCTACTTTTGCGAATGAATGAAAAATGAATGAACATTTTTACATGTTTACTACGTTATCTGATAATGTTCTCTTTTATGACCAGATTGTATATTTTATGTTTACTAATCTGTCACGCCTATTTATTTTCTATTATCTATTGAATCCCGTGTGCTTGTAACTGCAATACCAATTAAAACAACTAAAAATATCCGCAACAAACTCATGCTGCGGCTGGAAGTTATTCCTCGCTCACAGCACCGTCTCATAGTTCATGTATCCGGGACACATATCCGGTTAAACGTAGTACCACCGAGTTTTTGTGACGTGTATCCAGAACACCTAGTTTTCATCCGGCCGAGATGTCGACCTTTTTATGCAAAGTAGTGCTAGCTCCGCGACAACGACGAGCTGCTCTCATATGACACCATTTTCGAATATCCCTAACCCTGGCTAGTAAGCTGCACCGCTTCAATTTCATTATTTGTGCCAGCATGTAATATGTGCGTCGGCAACGGCCATTTCGACAACTGGCTACCCACCGGCCGCCAGTCGGCGACTACCATGCCCAGCATTTCCACCCTGGCTCTAATTGAATCCGAGTCACTGCCTACATGAAATTTATCACCACATTTATCAGCTTTTTATCTCACCCGTACGCCGTTCTTAATGCGTTAGGTAAAAGCCAATTACGGTTTGGTACGAAAAACGTACAAAGTGTAGGGTGGATTAGTAGGGCCCGAACACTTGTATAGAGCCGGGTCAAGTTTTACGCAATTTATACAAATCACAAGTAGGAGTGTAGGAGTATTGTCTCAAAACGATAGAATTTGTCGCAAAGATAACCCGTGTTTTGCTTGGAGCTTACTACTACCCATAACATTCCATTGTACTCGGGGAAAATGACAATGAATAATTAAAGTCGGGGGGAATATTATGACGAATATAATTAGCCTGCAGTACTCGTACGGGCTTACGTAAATGACTTTTATTTCTCTGAGGCTTTAGCAATGTATCAAATAAATTATTCCTTTATATGAGCTACTTTTGATGTTTTACAAACGAGTGCGTAAATTAGTGGAACGTGGATACACTGCAAGACGGTGTAATGAGTGAATTATGCACCCAGTAGTAAACACGGGGCAATTCAAAGTGCGAGAGTGAAGCAAGGAAAATGTAAGTAACATTTGACAGAATTTAAACGTAAGCAAGATTTATTTGAATCAAAATCACTTACATACGTGTTTGAGATAACAAATAAGTTGAAGAATTTTACCAAGTTCCACGTGTTATCTAGCAATTACAATTAGATGTTTCATTTGTTACTTTATGCTTATGTCACGACAAAGTTTTAAAACTGCCAAGCCATACATATCACCGGTAAATACTGCGAGACTCATGCCGTTCATTTGAACTCACAAATTGTTTTCCACATAGATATTACAATTTTGTGCAGAGGTATTTTGGAACTTTAGAAAGTTAAATTCGAATTGGTTTCGATGGAATGTTTTAGGAAGGTTTCATTTTTTACATTTCTATATTTTATTAACAATCTAGACATATTGTGACACTAAGTTTAGGCAATACATTTATTGTTACATTTACATGGTTATTGACAATTTGAAACAAACAAAATCACCTGATATTTCATCTAAACCTGAACATAAACTACACTTACTTGATGGTAGGCTCGGGTGAACCACCTGAACTGGAGCAGGAGAGGTTGAGTTCCCGGCCCTCTTGGGACTGTGCGTGCGAACCGGGCGTGAGCACGGGCGCGCGCGGGCTGGTCAGCACGGTCAGCGCGTGCCCCTGCGCGTGCAGCGTACGCCCCGACCCACCAGCCTTCACGCGACACTCAAACCGACCATTGTCCCTCTCGTAAGATACGTTCGACACCATCAGGTCAAAACGACCCTCCGTCGGCGCGTATGAAATTCTGTAACAATACATATTTTCCTTTTTTAATTTCCAAGAACACCTCGCTCCAATCCCTAATGGGTTCGCTCATTATTTTCCAGGATCGACAGATTCCTGTACGATCCTACAAAGAACAAAAGCTTGAGCCAACGTGAATGTGTTCCCTTGAGATCTTCACGCTTAAGCAACGAGGCCGTCGACTCTTCAGACTGCTTGTAAAATATTTGTAAGTCGTTTGTAAACAGGAATACACCACGAACTTAGTTCCTATATAGTTCGTATTTGTTGTTTAATCTTTTGCTTTTAACAGTGTACCTATGTCGGGAAAACACAGATTTTAAAACTATTTTCCTAGTGAAAAGCGGATTTAAGTCGGGACCTCAACGCGCGCTCAGCGTTTGAAAGGATGCTAATCGTGTGTACGTAATACGTACATATATATCGTTAGAGAAATGACACAAAGGAATTTTACGTAATTCCCTCTTAGTGGTGGCAAGTTCCAACATGTACCTACAATGTACAGCCTTAATATTATTGTGGTTGTTCTTCAGGATGATCAAAAATATTTCCTATTTTGGCTTATTACAACGAGACGGCTGTGACAACTATATTCCATTTGTATTATTGGATTATAATATATTTCGATCGGCAATCCCACTTGAATCTTTTTTGTGACCGGAAAAAATATACGCAAATAAATATACATATGCAATTTTGCATAGAAAAAATAAATCGATATTTTATATGTTTTATTAAGCTTCCAGGTTATTGACGTGTCTGAAAAGAAATTATTATATTTTTAGTATCTTGGGACAGGCATTTCGTATTAGTTACGAATCGAATGGATAAAATAGTACTTAGTCCAGACCACTACTGTAATTTCAGTGAAATATTGACAGGGCAAAGTGTCCTAATTTACCGGAGCTGGAATACTACATATATTATATATTTATATGTGGGCCGACGTTTGACCACTATCCCGCCTGGTGGTAAGCGATGATGATATATTATATATTATATTTATTTATATATGGATATATTCAATACAATGTCGGGCTTACAAGTGTAATACAAATACACAGACAAAGACAATATTCCAAGGAATAAATTCGATTATCTTTTTATAAGTAACAAAGACAACATAGATAGATACATGATTACTGTGCCATAAATCATATTATTGTCGAAGGAAACCTCATAAAGTTATGTTCTGTAGATTCGGAAATAACTTCATCAATATCAAATAAAGTAGGCAATCCATAAAAAGTAGGAGTGTCTAATGAAAATTACTTTTTTCGGAACTCTTGGTGTTAAGTTGAGGAAGATAACGATATCTTTAAATTATTATTCATATCATCGGTCCTTAATAGCTTTTGAATTTGTTACAACATTATTTCTGTATTTTTATATTACAAATTACGGCTTGCTCAAATACACACAAAACAGATAAATTAATGATAGCCTACATTTTTTTAAATCTTTGTATTACGTGTTGAATTTTATTTGTTTGATTTTAATTTCGATTGGATCTTTATTAAATGATAAACAAACAATCCAGGTTATACCTTGTCAGGTTCTTTCTGGGAGGTCAAAATCATTAAAGTATATAAACAACATGTATGTGTAGGTCTAGGTAGGTATGTATATTGTATAGGTACCTCAAGTTCAAGTGAGACTACCACAAAGCAGGTAAATGCCTAATTAAAAAAAAGAGTACCTAATACAGACAGAATATTGTGTACACATTAATTAAGTCGAAAGAAAAACGTGTATTTTCACCGTTGCCTATTTAGAAGGCTGTAGCATCACATGACTTTTCTTACTGAAAAAAATACCGCTACAGGGAATTACGTTTACCTCGTCTGTCATGCCATCAGTGTGTGATAATTTAATTTTTATCCTCGAAAACCCCTCTCTCGGGTCTACCAATTTAATACGTATCTACATGAAGTTAGGTATCATTTTATCGTCGAGGGATCTTTCCAATGTACAGTTTAAAGGCTGTCGCTTGCTATAATGTACGCCCCGAAAGAACGATATTTGGACGCTGAATTTATCTTCCTCGCATTAGGCGATGTCGTATCGCATTCAATGTAGCTACTCGTGCATGAAATTAAGTAAATGTATTTCTCTTATTTTCGGTTTTAGATGTCTTACTATACAAATGAATTTCACCTTAAACGTATGCCGTTCCTATACGGGTATGAGATGGGTTAGTAGTTAAAATTGCCTTATTTAAAATTTCCTCTAGCAACCAACCCGCGCTCTTGTGGCAGGTCCAATTATAATAAAAATTATAATACTTTTTAGATAACTTATAATCCCCAATAATTTACTTACTTCGAAGAGTTATAGCCTTGTGGCGGTATTATTTCGAACCAACTGCGTGTTTAGCACGCAAACTCTTTGTACTTTTTCATGAATATTAATTATTTTATAAGGGTTGGCAGATGTCCGATATTTACCCAAGAGATCGGTACTTATTTGAATTTCTTGTTGGGGTTAAAATAAAAAAGGGTTTTATAGAACGCTTGCAGCTTATGGCAGAATTTCATAAGCTACTAGATAAAATACTAACATGTAACTACAATTTGCATCGTGACACATTCGGTCCTAGATATACAAAAATATTGCCAAAGCCGCAATTATGTTTTGTGTGCGAACTCAAACAACTTGTGTTTGCAATACAGAGCGGCGGTGTTTTTGCGGACCTTAGCTTAAAGAAAATGGAATTTCTTTTTGTCCGAGTAGGTAAGACCCGGTGTGTAGCCAAATGAAATTTTCTAGATACTTTCGTGGGTAATCTAATGTTGGCGAACTTACTGGTAATTGGTCTCGAGCGGTATGTTGCCAATGGCGACATTGTCATGCCCACTGGCTGTACTCCTGACCCAGTAGTAGGTGAGCGACTCCCCTGCGAGCGGCTCCAGGGCGAAGCGACACTGCATGGTGACGTCATCACCTTCCCGCGCGTCATGCTGCTCGTCATCACCTCGCACCGTGCACCCGACTGGAACAAAATGCATTAAATAAATTAAGCGTTCATGTTAGAGAAACTGCTGGCAATGTCCTATCATAGCCTCGTCTTTTCCTTTAACTATAAAAAGTTTGCAAACTAGTATGCTTTTTGAAAATTACTGTTCGTCAGCGTGGAAAGATAGCAAACATTCGCTGCAGTTTTTCTTATAAGAAATTTGAAAATATTATGATAATAAAATTCCGTGTCCTAGCTTATGCTACCTAGGTTCCTAAAAATGGTACAGGGACATTTCAGTGTATAAAAACGTTTAGTTTCACCTAAAAACTTTACCGAGGAACATCACGTACTACACTGCGGCAATCACGTCCATGACAATTCCAGTCATTTTGAACGGTAACGCCAATAAGAGGGTCAGGAGATAATCTCCACTTAGCATCACTTTCTTTCTAAGTGCACTAATCTCGTCTAATCGATTGAATGAAAGTAACAACTTATCATATAGTTATTGCTCATAGAATAGTGTAGAAGCCCCAGTAAATTTCGTAATTTGCAGTGCATTTCAATGTGCTTGCTTCGGGCTTACCGAGTGTAAACAAAGAGCAAACTAATCATCAAACTATCACTTCAGCGATCTATTCAGCTCGTTTACTCAAATGTATGAACTTTGAGTGCAAATTTGAACTTGAATTAACTTTAGGCCCGGAGAATGTATCTAATTTTCGGCAGTGTTATATATTAATACGAGGATTTATATCAGCTACCAGAATATTGATCCCAAATATTACGATGTAAATTTTGAATTAAATAATTGACCAAAATCTCAATTACTCTTTTAATTCTTGAAAAGTGTTAACGAAAATAAGTTCTTAACGTTGCAACAACAAAAATGAACTTCATTGAAGATTTTCTTTGAAACACCTACTTCTTTCGCTTTTACATATTTATAAAAGACGCACTTATCTTATAGTTCTTTTTGGAATTCTAAAGTGTATCGACATATCTATCTATAATATCTGTATCTATAATAAAAACTATCTATAATATAATTATATCTATATATACACAAGGTGTTGTTTTATAGCCGCGTCATTTTCTAGGAGGTAACTCGGCTATCGATTCTCCAACTAGAAACATTGCTGTCGCTTATTCTGAAATACTGTCGAACTTAAACGATTTATTAGAGCCGTATTTTTAACTATTGGGCCGAAAATTTCTCTTACATTGAACCTTTATGACTTCTGTGACATGCCCCCGAGAAATGACACGGCTTCAAAACTACACCTTGTAGAGAGAGAGAGAGAGATGTGGGCACTCAATATTAGATATGTTGGCATCAAGCCTCAAGTCCTAACTTTCAGAGCTTACAGAATAGAACTATTTTTCTCTGAACGAGCTTAAGACTTTTTAAGAAAATGGTACGAAAAACAACAACATATGTGTATGTACGTATATTTGTTATCTGATCATTAATATCCTCTGCAGACGTCTCCCGTCCCTTAATTATTCAGTAAACCAATTATGTGGCTAGGGGTGAACTGCGAATTTAGGAAGAGTCTCTCTAATACGCACAAGTCTATTAATACCATAATAAGGTCACTGGTATGTATGTATGTCTGTATGTAGAACTGTCATATTTTATTCGTACATTTTCTTTATTAGATTCTGTACCGGTGTTATTTTATTCAACGGATACTGTGATGTCTTTAAATATCAGCAAATAGTTAATTTACTGTATCCTGATCTTTCATTATTGTCTTGACATGACGATAACTCGTTATGTAACAATTGGACACCCAAACAAATAATTGAAATTTTTAAAATTGCAATTCTACCATATATGACGTATTTATTTATTTATTTAAACTTTAATGTACACAGAAACAAGTAATGGCACATAAGGCGGACATTAATGCCATATGGCATTCTCTCCCAGTCAACCTTAGGGTTAAATTGAAAATTGGCGAAAAAATAGGCATGTGTAATTATAAGAAACAAATAACATAAATAGACTTTAATAAATATAGATAGGTACAAAAAATATTTAAAATGTACACTACAATATAAATACAACATAAATAATAGGTATATATATGCATGCTCAAAATATATATATATACTACTAAATAAATAAATTCTATAATAATACATATATAATAATAATAGACCTAGACTCAGCGTTGTCGTGACTTTAAAATAAAATCGTGAACATCGCGTTTGAAAGTGATCTTATTTGGAGCCTTTTTTATGTTAAGCGGTAGTGCGTTCCATAACTTAATTACACTAACTGTGAAAGAGTTAGAAATGAAGGATGTTCGGTGGGACGGAATCTCTGAGATCTGAGAACTGCCCAGAACCTGGAAGCAAGACTTTAGGTATTCAGGAGCACAAGGATCATTCAGAATAGAGAAAAGCATGCAGAGAGATCTAAGAGATCTTCTCTCACGGATAGGAAGCCATTTTAGCTGATCGCGAAAAGAAGAAATGTGGTCGTATTTACAAAGACCGAAGATAAAACGGATACAGTTATTGAGCATTCGATCCAATTTGTTCAGAAGGTCTTGGGATAGGTCAGAGTAACAAACATCAGCATAATCGATAAGAGGAAGCAGAAGGGACCGGACCAGTAACTCTTTTGTATTTGGGGGCAGGCGTATTTCTAGGGAAGATGAAGCTACCTAAGAAATCCCTGTAATTTCTAGGTTTAGAAATCTCTAGAATTATTTTACAACCTTTTTTTATGAAAACTACACTATTAGTATAGCATTACTCATCTCAAATACATTTCATTGAAATACGTGTTCTTAGAATTACATTCCAATCGGTGTTTCTCAGTATGAATGGAATAACTTGAATGTCAAAGGTGAAATCGCTGTATCGGCCTTAATAACACATTATTCTAGATTTTGTTATACATTTCTAGAGTTTTTCCATGTATCATACTTTTGACCTAAGAAGTTCTTGTCCTCATTTACGTGTATAATACTAACAATGCTTACATTTCGAAAATTACAATGACTTAACGTGTTTTTTTCTCACACTGGTTTCTTTTTCTATCGCCACAACAGGATTGATACTATCTCACTCACTCTTAGGAAACAGCTTCGTATTACCGTCTCCCTCACTCGTCCATCTAAACGGTTTTAGTTAAGGTTGTCACCGTTGAAAGTTACTTTTTTACATTTAAAATAAACAGACTTCTTGCACTTAGTCGATAAGTAGACGTTAAATGTATAAAAAAATAACTTATCTTAAAATAGATACGTAGGAAGTACTTTGATTAAAAGAAACAATAATGACGTCACAGAAAGATCTTGAAGGTCTTGTATTGCAAAGAGAAAGTTTATGGCATCATTGATAGTGACGCATATTTTCCTCATTTATTCTTGGAAGTTATTAACTAAGGTGGGTATTTTGGCATCCTTAGGCTGACACCCATTCGTAGAAGCAGCAACGGCACTGGCGCGAGCGCAGCGTTGCGATGGCGGCGGTCAATGACACGAGGTCGCGTGCGCCCGCGCCGCTGCCTGCTACCGGAGCTTCGAACCGAAGCCACTAGACTCTAACACGCGCCCGACTCCTCGACATCACCCACATTATCACCTTCATGTTACTATAAGGTAAACGTTAACTTATAATTAACATAGTTTAGCTGGACAACCGTAAACAAACTTTAAAAATAGTGAGTTGACGTTACTCGTACGTACTTACTGAGTAAATATGGACGCAATGATGTTATGCGGTAAAAGCCTTAATGCTTATGCTCTCAAAGATAATAAAATAAAGCATAATCATGTGTTATGTCACATTATTATTAGATTGTGGTACATAACTATAAAATATAAGATAAAATCCCGATGGCAAAGACAGGCGTAGTCTCTTAGCTAAACGACATACAAATGTATGTTAGTCACATTACACGCAAAATTAGATTTGCGAAGCAAAATATACAACGTCAGTGATCCCTACTCAGAGCAACAGGTTCTTATTATTAATAATAATGTAATATAATAATATTAATTACCATGTGTATTAAGATGTGTGTCCTTAGTGGTCTCGTGGCAGATATTAGTGCTGACTATTGCTGTTTTAATAACAAATGACACGGATTAACCAAACATGGCTCACGCTTGATGACGTCATACCGTATTCGCTTTCTTAAGTTTATTAATATGTTGGTAGAGATAACTTATAAATTATTACTGAACTGGAAATTTGAATGTATTAGAAGTTTTATTGTTTTTTACTTTAAGATAAAACTTTTTATGTTCTAGTATGTTGATTTTATTAATATGATTATGTTATCATGTGTGACGTAGTGGTAATATGTATCAGTTGAGATATGCTGAACATTTACAGGTATAGGTTGTAAACGGAACGTTCCCGAAACGCTGACAAAAGAAATTGTTTTTACAATTTTAATTGTTTTTTTTTCACTTTATTCATACAACACCAGCCTTGATCAGTTGACAACTATTATTACAACTGCATAAAATAATCACTTAATTCTTTACTTTTATGAAAATAAAATTAGTTTTTTTACCATCACTTGTCAGCGTTCCGTGTACACCCTGTATTATATGCATTTATATTACAAATACATAAGTTATCTCAACTAGCAGACATAGTCTTGTCGGAATTTTACAAATGCCAATTTTAAAACCAACTTGATCAAAATGCAAGTTTAGACTAAAAACACACGTACAGACAAAAATTATTAATATGTAAGTGTAGGTAAACACCAACACCTGATTGCGGTATGTCGGAATGCTACCACTATCAACGGGAGCGAAAGTTACAGATGCTTTAATCAGGAATAAAATTTATTGCCCTATATTGCTTGACTCATTTGGATTTCGAGCGCCTTCCAGATACCCACGTAGTCACATAACGCCCCTTTGTCCTCCACTACGCAGAACAGTTCTTGGAGCAAACTCAACCATTACCAGATTAGCGAACGTCATGAACAATTGCAGTGACGTTCCTTATTCTCTGGCTTGCCTTAATTAGCTGGCTGGAGTGAACGATGACAAGGAACAGGTCTCCCACCCCTGGATT